GGGCAAATGTGTTAGTGGAATTTGAAAAAAAAATTTTAACTGGGGGCATTTTTTTTAAAAATTGGGGGCATTTTTTTTCAAAATTGGGGGCATTGGGGCAAATGTGTTAGTGGAATTTGAAAAAAAAATCTTAACTGGGGGCATTTTTTTAAAAAATTGGGGGCATTTTTTTTCAAAATTGGGGGCAAAAAATTATTTTGGGATCGAGAAAATCAGCTTTTTTGGGAATTATATTGACCCCTGCTTTCACCTCAACTGTTCTGTCACGATTACAGTAATTAAGGTCATAATTATTAAGATTATTATAAGATTATTTACTATTTATCTCTTCATTACAAGGAGGCGAAGACAATGTTCTATTCCCTCAGTGTTAGTTCATTTGTTACTTAGAAACGAAGCATATAACAACCATTGTTTAGAAAAAACAATGGTATATAAAAATTCAGCGGGAGTTGTGGGAGCGCGTGAACGATCGATTAAGACTAACGCAGTGTAGGGGGTGTCCTAATAAACATGGGAATTGAGAGACGACTGTAAAGTCGTCTTTGATTTCTGATATCTATTCATGGCAAAGAAAGCAAAATAAAGAGGCTGTATGTCTACCGAGGTGTTCATAAAGTGATCTACCTTTCTTGTAACTTAAAAAATGATGAAGATATGAGATTTTGAGACAATTTTGATTTTTAAATAAATTTAAAACAAATTTCGCAATATCTCCGTCAATTTTGAAGATACAAAAATGGTAGACAACATTTTAAAAATCTCAATACATGGCGTTTTCGATATTTCATGTTTAAGCTGGAATATAGCAATAATTGTTTACATAAAAAAATGTCTCATGGATCGAAAACGATACAAAGGTCGTCTCTGAATTCTCACGTTTATTAGGACACCCTGTAGAATAAGATTTTTTCATCTGCTGGGCGCCACAGTTTGAAGAAACTTTTTTCACTTTTTTCACTTTTTTTCTTTTACCACTGGGTTAACTCTTTTACCACTGGGTTAACTCTTTTACCACTGGGTTAACTCTTTTACCACTGGGTTAACTCTTTTACCACTGGGTTAACTCTTTTTATGAAACTTTTTCTTCTTTGAACCGATTGGTTTCGTAAAGTGAAAACCAGAAAACTCCGAAATAGGAAGACGACTTTTAAACTCAAGTTATGACTTTAAACAATCCAATGAGAGTGAGACACAGTAATTGTGAAGTGTAAACAGGCCAATTTTATTGAATTATTAAGTGTCTAGTCGTCTTCCTATTTCAGAGTTTTTGTGGATATCACTGTATTAAAAAAGCAAACAGTTGGTTTAAACTGTTTTCATTCGACCGCTAGAATCAAATTTTTTTTAAACAATATTTTCTTCAACCGCTGGATGAATTTTTTTTTGTGAAACTTTTTTCTTCTTACAATTATAAAAAAATTTCCTTCAACTGCTGGTTCAACTTTTTCTTCTTTCAACGGCGACGCATAAGGATGTCTGTATATGAACATTTATATGGTTAAATAATGGTGGTAAAAAGTAGTGTATAAAATTGGTAAAAAAATGGTGTTTCAAATTGGAATAAAAGTCGACTTGAAAAGTTGACAAAAAGTCGACTTAGATGTCGACAACAAGTTTCATTTCGTTTATTTCTTGTTTGTGAAGGACCTATTTCGGTCGGTTTTTTTTCATTCATTCAATCGTTCTTACTGAATGATCGTTCAGTAAAATCATTCTTTTAGTTAAATTATTCGTTCAGTAAAATCTCTGTTCAATAAAATTATTCGTTCAGTTAAAAAAAAATTTTTAGACGAAAAATCGTTTCCAAAAAGTTTTTTCCCAAAAATCGTTCATTCAGTTTTTATAAAAGAAGAAAGAAGTTTCACAAAAAGAGTTCAACCAGCGGTTGAAAGAAAAAAGATTCTGTAAAAGATATTATTCAATTGGTTGAAAGAAAAAGGGTTTAACAAAGTTTCTTAGAAATGTGGTACCAGCAGTTAAAAAAATAGAATCAAACGATAAAAAATGTGATTCTAGCAGTTGAGGGGAAAAACGTTGCTCAACATTTTGTCAAAAATGTTTACCAAAATAATGTAATTTAAATGGTTGATCCAATTTTTAATTAGAAAATGAAGAAAAGGTAGAAAATCTTATTCTAGACTGCCTAGACTAAGTCTTATTCTAGACTGCCTAGGCTAAGTCTCTATAACCACTGATTCAATCCCTACAAAGTATTTATCATTGGACAAACATTGACATATACGTCACATATTATTGCATAAATATTACATATTGTCATACTTTGAAAGCTTTCCATTATAACGTATAAATATTTCAGAAGTTACTGTAGTTCAAACTAAGCAGAATGACTGGAAACCAAAAACTTGTAATAATAATTATTTGTACCTTGATGGTTATGATGTCTATATATTCAGTTGGTTTACCCACAGCTCCATCTAAACCTAAAACTGGACTCAAATGGGGGATCTGGAATACAAGTTACCCCTGGCCAGGAGATAAAGAATGTGGAGGATTTGTAACGAGAATAGCAAAACCAGGAACCATCCCTATGAGAGCTCTAGCTTCCTACCCTGGCTCTGGGAATACTTGGATCAGATATCTGATTGAGGGTGCCTCAGGGATCTATACTGGGTCCATATTTGTTGCTAAGTCAATTACTGATGCTGGACATCTCGGGGAGCTGAGGAATTTCAGTGATGGGTCTACAATTCTTCAAAAGACCCATCACAGAGCCATCTACCCATACGGTTATAGACAGTATAACATTACATGGAGAAGAGAACACATAGAGCTGTTCCAAGGAAGAGCTATAGTTGTGGTTCGTAATCCATTTAATTCCATTCTTTCCTACTGGAACTTTTACAAAACGGGTAGTCAAACAGCATCAGCAGACAGGAACAGTTTGCTTTCAAAGGAATTCCAGGACTTTGCTTTTGTTGGAATCAACCGTTGGTATGAGCTTATCTCAGATTGGTTGGAATATGGGAAAGATGTTTACTTTGTGTTTTATGAGGATCTAAAAGATGACCCTGTAGAAGAAATACAAGCTTTGTTTGGCCATCTTGGGATAGAACTCGACCTGAACAGACTGGAGTGTATTAAGAAACATCTCACTGGAAAATTTCAGAGAAAGAACCACGTTGAGGAAAATCTATATTCTTTTGATCATCAAGCTTTGTTTAAACTTGTTATAGATGCTGCTAGCAAGAGGATAGAGGAGAAGACTGGTAGATCACTTCCTCTTCATAAATATAATTTCTATAAATAGCAGTGCTTAGGATCCATTTCGTGTTCATAAGAATTCAGATTCTTGAATGGTTCTTTTGAAGCTTAAATTTGTGTACGCTGTTTGACTTTTTGACTGTCTGATTTTATCTCTAATTTTCATAATATTTTTTAAAGAGATGTTTCCATTGGCTTTTGTGAAAAAAGTCACTGATTGCCAAATATTAAGAGTTTGTGTGTGTAATAAGTTGTTTTGATATAGGAAGACGACATTAAATCAATCTGTAAAAGCAAACTTTGCTTTTACAATGTGTAAATCAACTTAGTATTTGCACACCTGCTGTGTTTCATGTTCATCAAACATTTTGAGTCAAAAAGTTGTTTTTTATTTTTTCTAGTTTTATGGGTAACATAAACATTGTCTTACTTTAATTCTTATATTTTTATATCATATTTTGAACATTCAAGGTGACCCCAAAATTAAGGGATTAGGGGAAAAAGCTACTAAAATTGAATTCAGGTAAAAATTGGTGATGGAACCCAATTGTAACCTTGTACCCTTGTAACCTTGTAACCTTGTAACCTTGTAACCTTGTATCCTTGTAACCTTGTAACCTTGTAACCTTGTAACCTTACTACTTCTTTTATAAATATCTAAATATCTTTATCGTCTTCTCATTTTTTTTCTTTCACTGTCAATCCAATTTCTTCTACATATATTCTGGTAGTTATTTATTATCAGAAATATGTATACTACAACATATATTCTGGTAGTTATTTATTATCAGAAATATGTATACTGCAACATATATTCTGGTAGTTATTTATTATCAGAAATATGTATACTACAACATATATTCTGGTAGTTATTTATTATCAGAAATATGTACACTACAACAAATATTCCAGTAGTTATTTATTATCAGAAATATGCATACTACAAAATATATTCTGGTAGTTATTTATCATCAGAAATGTGTATACTACAACGTATTTTCTGGTAGTTATTTATTATCAGAAATATTTATACTACAACATATATTCTGGTAGTTATTTATAATCAGAAATATGTATACTACAAAATATATTCTGGTAGTTATTTATCATCAGAAATGTGTATACTACAACATATCAGAAATATGTATACTACAACATATATTCTGGTAGTTATTTATTATCAGAAATATGTATACTACAACATATATTCTGGTAGTTATTTATCATCAGAAATATGTATACTACAACAGAATAAAAGAAAGAAAAATCTTTAATTGCTTTGTGTAAAAATATACATGACTGGTAAAAATCAATCCTGGCACGGTATAATTTTCAAAATTGTAAATAAAGTTATTAAACGGCATCAAATTATGTGCTTTAATGTGAATATTAATAAAACCTTTAAATCAAGAATGAAGTACTACTTCAAATTACTATTATTGATAAATAAAGCAAAAAAGCACAAATGTTTTAATTTCTGATTACTATATGTTTTGCATAAAAAATCTAATGCTCAAATTAGAAACATTTAATTATTTTGAATTTATTTTATAATGTTAGTTTTTTTTAAAAAATATTTTAAGTACATATGTATATATTATACAAGGTGTCCCAAAAAACATGGGAATTCAGTGACGAATTCGATATCGTCTTTGTTGTGAATTAGCATATTGTAATACCTAATTTATAAGACCATAATATTATTATGTCTGCTAGAGTTTATTTAATGAAAATAGTAAATGGCAGTAAAGATGTGTCTATAATATCTCCGCAAGATGAACAGTGAAGACGGACAAGTTTACTTTGTCTGTATACAACCGTATGCAGTCAAAACATAAACAAACAAAATGTGAACATAGCAGAGCGAAACTCTTACAGATTACGGCTTTCTCAGTAGGTATCACTATACTAAATCAAAGAATTATTTAAAAAGACGATATCGAATTCGTCACTGAATTCCCATGTTTATTGGGACACCCTGTAGATATTAGACAAAAACAAATTTAAAAATAGAATAAAGCAGATCTTTAAATTTTGAAGTTCTCATTCCCAATCAATAAGTTTTAAAGGACTGTAGAAGTGGTCCTTCAAGTACAGAGAGCCATGTTTGATGCACAACGGTACCTATTCCGCACAATAACAAAACAGTTGCGCGCAATTCCGCGTAGTTCCCCGCAACGGAATTAAGATAGAAACCCTATTCCGGATCAATTTCTTGTGGAATAATCGTCTCGTAAATTTTTTTTAATATTTGGTAGGTTACTCTCGATGCGGTCCAATGTTTAGGGTCTAGAAAATTCAAATCTTCTAAACAAATATAAAAAACGGTTATTCTGGAAATGGTGTATAACCTTTGTATACATTGCAGAAAAATTGCATACTTTTCAGTAAAGTTTTGTTTAATAATAATCCCCTGATCTATTGATATAAAAGGTGACAGCAATAATAATTTTTTCTTTTACTTATTACAATAGTCCTCTATGAATATAAATATTAATATTAGTAAATCTGGAGAAGCTCAAAAAAAAAATTATAAAATTAACTTGATTTGAGATTCATAGAAGTTCCTTATAATCATTAAAAAATTTAAGAACTCTCCTTATGTTTAACATATTTATAGTATATAAGATTCAGATATAAAATTCTTTATATAATCACCCGTACGCATCAATATACTTAAAAAATACTTTTAGAAAATAAAAATCTTTTCATTTGTGCAAGGGAAAAATTATCAAGTGTTAAATACGGGTTAATGTCAAAGGAGTCAAGGGTTGACCCGGTCCGCCTCAACAGTCAGTATATAATTTTACATGCTTAACAGACAGTACTCCATCAAGGATTTGACAGAAAAAGCTATAAAACATTATTACTAAATATTGCCTAATTATGACTGATTAAGAGCTATATAAAACTAAACAATCTTTACACGGAAAGGAAAATATTTAAAACAAATGAATTAAATATCATCTTTCGTAGTCTTTGATTTAAGCGCTACCTTTATTGTAGATCCAAAACCTAGAAAATTGGCATAATTTCTTCGAATCTTGATATTTATTAAGAAAGGTATTGTTTAAATCAAAAATTACATCATGGCGTCCGGGAACTCCCTCCCTCTATCCAAACCTCCGCATTATAATCTCCTCTTATTGTTTTTTACCTATAAGGACAAAAAAAAAATCTCAAGTCTTCGATATAATTAAATGAAACATTTTCTTAAAAACCCATTAAACTATATAAATTAGCATGTTAAAAAATTTACCGAAAAACCTTCAAACTTAAAATATTTTACTCAAATGCCTTAGCAAAATCTTACCAATGACCATACTTAAAGAATGTTACTAAAATTATACAAATCAAGCTATGATTAAGAACTCTAGTTTTTTTGGAGCATCCTGTAATTATTCAAAATTATCAAAATACAAGTTGTAAGTCTCATAAACACGTTAGTAATGTTAGTTTTTAAATAAAGTAAATCAATATATATAGTGTGTTGAAGATTTATTAGGAGTAAAATTTCACTGGAATGAAATAAAACAATAAAAGTTGAATGAACTAGATCTTATTCATGGCGGCTACATCAACAGATTGAACATAGTCCTCAAACTCCTCGATCTTCTCTCCCAACTCCTCAATGGAAACCTGGACAAACGGTTTAATTAAATATTATATTTGGTAGTTGACATTTTTACAAATAAAGTAAAATAAACAATTCCACGGCCATAGTTAAGCAAAAAAAAGACAATCTACGATTTCGCAGAAATTTAAAACAAGTGCCATTCCAAAGAAAGAGACAGTCTCTTTCATGAAGGAAAAATAAGTTTTACATTTTCAAAACACCAAGTTAAGCATAAACTTTCAGCAAAATCGGAGATGGCCAATTTCAAAATTTAAAACAAAAAATGGCGCGCTTGTTAGCACTTTTTAATTTCTTTTCCTACTTTTTTAATAAAAACAAAAAATGTTGAAGGGGAAAATCTGTCAGGAAAACTCAGACTCAGAATTTATGTGCCAAGTACCAAAATATGTTTTTTTTCAGCCCTTACTTGAACACTTTATTGTACGAATATTAATCTTATTTGAACTCGGATATTCTAGAGTTTTAATGATACCTCAACCAGAGATGGAATTTAAAGAATTTGAGCCGCGGTTTAAATCCGCCAAACCCCGGTTTAAATTCAGCGCCGGCTTAAATTTTGAAACATTTGATACAACTTTAAGTGGAACCAACCATATTTAAACCGCGGCTTAAATTTAAACCGCCGCTCAAATTCTTTAAATTCGGCCACTGGAATGTCTAATGTCATCGTTAACCCCAATTTGCAACCGTAATTTTCAATTAGTGTGTACGATACATATTGTAACCAGGGACCAAATTTAATGAATTTGAGCTACATCTTTTAACTACCTACAGCCGGTTCAAATATGAACCACCAATTCAAAGCCAAAGAGTCAGGAAGGGTTTGAATCGGTGATTAAAGGGAATGTCCACATTTCCATACAAAGTGTGGGGGGGGCCTTCGATGTTGTTTTTAGAGATATCTCTCTGATCTTTGGCATGCAGGCCTGAATTGTGATCTAGTTTTTTAATCAAAAACCTAAGTGAGGGAAAAATAATTTTTCCCTTAATTTTCCAACATTTCAGACATTTTTTCAACAACTTTGTATTAGGTCAATGTGTGGTGTCTTAAGTAATCAACATTGGGTGGGGAAACTCAATTCTGGATTTTATAATACATTTCCCCCTCTCCTTATACCATTTCCCCCCTTTCCCGCATTTTCCCCCAAGGCCAAAGAAGCCTTCTGATTTTACTACTAGAGATTTCTCTCCGATTTTTTGCATGCATAACTGAGTTGTAATCTAGTTTTTAAATCAAAGACTAAAGTTGGGGGAAAATAATTTTTCCCTATATTTTCCCCGCATTTTCCGGTCATTTTTTTCAAAACCTTTGCGTTAGGTCCAAGTGGGGTGTCTAAAGTCATAAACATTGGGTCGGGAAACTCAATTCTGGATTTTTGATAAAAACTATATCACAATTCAGGCCTGCATGCCAAAAATCAGAGAGATATCTCTTAACAACAAAGCCAGAAGCCCCCCCCTCCCCCCCTTTGTATGGAAATGTGGACATTCCCCTATGAACTGGCTTGGCGATAAGGACCTCTCATTCTTAAAATTAGGTGTCTGGTTCTGGTTCTTGAAAATCATTTTAGGAAAATGTTAAACCCCCGGAATATTACCTTCTCATCTTCTACAATGCACATAACCTGGAGCTTCTCGATTCCGTAACCTAAACAAATACAGTACTGAGGACAAGAAGCCTTTAAGTATGAATAACCGAATCGTGGTAAAATCCGCTTAAATTAAGAAAATGAACATTTAAAAATACAAGATCTCTTTTCCTTCGATTTCGAGTCCAGGGTAAATTATGTTAGTATAGTTTCCCTCACATAAATTATTGCGACGCAAGCATTATTTGTAGCGTGCTGAGAAATTGTGGAAATGAGGAAAATAAGAATGAGGGATCTGCACATAACCCACAAAGGTTGACTTCAAGAGACAATACGAAATATACTCAGCCTGTCCTCCTTAAATCTATGATTCCCTGGAACCATAAACTCGATTTTCTTTGCCATCATTAAATAAGTAAAGACGATATTTAGGGAATCAGTGTTTAAGATCTGGATCCGTTGGATCCGCAAGATTTTGGCTTCCTGGATCCGGATCCAAGGGGTAAAATATCTACCAAAAACTGCAAAAAAAATCTGAACTTGGTTAATAAAGTTTTAGGATAAAAATAAGCAAAAAAAAAATTTGAAAATAATTTTTTGTTAAAAAAATTCAGTAAATCTTACAGAAATGACCTGGATCCGGATCCTTTTTTTTTCCAGTGCGGATCCAGGATCCGGATCTGGATCCGCATCAAAATTAAATGGATCCTAAGCACTGTAGGGAAGAAGACATAAATTAACCTTGTAATTGTCATATTTAAGAGTTTCATGCAGTCTTTGAAGTCGCATAGTTTTGGGTGTAATCCAACAGTCTATTAGCAGCCAAGCAAACTGAATCAGAGGAGCACGGGCAACGACGTGTGCTAATGACGCCGGATGTGTCAAGTATTTGTCAAAATTAAATTTGTTCAGAGCTGGGAACTCGAGTTTTTGATTAAAATCAATGCTTGATCACCATTTAATCTCAATTCTATGCCCTGCATATTAATTGTACCCAGAAGGAAAAACTGAAATGAAGAGATCTAGCTTTAGTCCTTGTACGTGCCCACAGTGGACATCGAGATAAAGTAATGAACAGTTTCCAGCTCTGCTTGCACAATATTCATGTTCTGTTTACCGATTGGAACCTTCTTGCTGGCTCCCCAGACCAGACCGTCCATCTGAATACTCTTGCAGCACTCCAGCATTTTGTCGAGGTCGGTCTCATCGTCCCAGGGCTAAATAATCAGAATTTAACAATTAAATTAAAATATTTATCTATTTCTTGAAACCTAATACTTATAGGTTCATGGGAAACAACAAAACAAGTCAAGGCAATAATGAACAGGTTATTCGATCAAAAAATCTAAAAAAATATTTAACGTTGAGAAAATTAGAAAATTGTGCATTACTTTAAACTGCTCTCAATTAAGTGAATTAAGTAAATCAATTTTTTCAGACCTAACCGTTAAAACGGGTTCAAGGGAAACAATTTAAACTTCGGGTACCATTAAACAAATAGACAAATAAAACAAAATTTAATAATTTAATTTAAGAAAAAATTGAAAATTGTGAACTACTTTGAACAGCATTAATTGAAGTGCAGAGGTTTATATTTTCATTTTATGAAACTGGTTTTTGTTGCTTTGGATAAAAAGGACAAATTACATCAAAATGCAGATTATCATCTTCTGATACTGAAGAGCCAAAAACTGATTTATTTTCCCTATTATTAGTTTCCCCAAATACAGCGATGAACAGGCATTTTATCAGTTAATTTTCATTATTAACAAGGATATAAATATTCCATTTCTGATCCCAAATGAGAAAGGAGTTGGAAGTACATTTAGGGGCATGAAATTACACTTTCTGTGTAATTGTCATTGTGAACTTTGGTAAGTTTTTTGTTTACGTGCAATACACTTCAGAAATGCGTACTGCATTTGTGGTGTTCACGATAAAAAGGTTAATTGCTGCCCCAAATATCAACCAATCAACATTTGGGATAAGATTGGATGGCATTATATGGACCCCTGATTTTGAACCCTTATGACAATCGATTAATTGGTTGCTGAAGGAATTGAAACAGAAATTCCGGCCTGCGTTCAGAAAAGATGTATCAATGTATAATTACCTTGACGTCGAAGAGAACAGAGGTTTTAGCGATGAGTGCTGGCTTCTTAGATTTCTTCTCTGCATAGGCCTTCAGCCTCTCAGCGCTTTAGAAATACAATACATAAATATTGCCTCAGCGCTGTAGAAATACAATGTATAAATATTGCCTCAGCGCTGTAGAAATACAATGTATAAATATGTCTCAGCGCTGTAGAAATACAATGTATAAACATCAGCGCTGTACAAATACACTGTATAAATATGGCCTCAGCGCTGTACAAATACGATGTATAAGCATATCTCAGCGCTTCTACAAATACAATGTATAAATATGTCTCAGCACTGTACAAATACAATGTATAAATATGTCTCAGCACTGTACAAATACAATGTATAAATATGTCTCAGCGCTGTACAAATACAATGTATAAATATGTTTCAGCGCTTTACAATTACAATGTATACATTTGTTTCAGCTCTGTACAAATACAATGTATACATATGTCTCAGCACTGTACAAATACAATGTATAAATATGTCTCAGCGCTGTACAAAAACAATGTATACATATGTCTCAGCGCTTTACAAATACAATGTATAAATATTGCCTCAGCACTGTACAAATACAATGTGTAAATATGTCTCAGTTCTGTACATATACAATGTATAAATATTGCCTCAGCGTTGTACAAATACAATGTATAAATATGTCTCAGCGCTGTAAAAATACAACGTATAAATATTGCCTCAGCGCTGTACAAATACAATGTATAAATATGTTTCAGCTCTGTACAAATACAATGTATACATATGTCTCAGCACTGTACAAAAACAATGTGTAAATATGTCTCAGTTCTGTACATATACAATGTATAAATATTGCTCAGCGCTGTACAAAGAAAATGTATAAATGTCTCATAACTGTACAAATACCAGTGTTTAGGATCAATTTAACTCTGATGCGGATCCGGATCCAGGTTATTTTCATAAAATTTACTGAATCTTGTTAACAATGCAGAATTTTCAAACTTATGTCTTATTTTTTTGCTTAAACTTTAAAAACCATTAAGGAAATATTTATAAATCTCTTTTTTTCAATAGTTCAGATTAGGGGTTTGAGAGTAAATTTTTTGTTCCAGTTTTTTTGTTGATATTTTTCCCCTTTAATCCGGATCCGTGGATCCGTATATTTCTGCGGATCCGGATCCAGGAAGCCAAAATCTTACGGATACAACGAATCCTGATCCTAAGCACTGACAAATATATTGTATAAATGTCTCGGTACTGTATACAAATACAATATTTAAATGTGCCTCAGCGCTGTAATATATAAATTTAAACTTAGCTTGAATATGAATATTGTTTAATTGTCTGCCCCCCCTTGCCCGTATATTCAAACCCTAACTAGGAAGTCGTATCCTGACTGTTGGATATTTTTAAGAATAAACCTCCCCCAGAAGATTTGAGGAAAAAATGAAAAATTGTCCTTCATTTCAATGTCTCGTTTATTTTCCCTGACAATCAATTAATTTCCCAGATTAAAATTGAATCCGAAACATAAAATTCCGCTCTGTGCAAACGAAAGAACACCTCCCGAAGAAAATGTGTCCGATGAGCTTACGTTATTCTGGCCTTCTCAGCATCAACCTCTTCATTATCATCATCAGATCCAAACAGATCAACATCATCATCATCATCCTTAATAGGTCAATATATCTTGAATAGAATCACCAAATGTGAATCAATATTAGACCATTCTCATCCTTGATGGATTAATTATTATTAAATAGATCACCATTATAAATTCATAGATAAATCTCATCCATAATAGATCAATTAATCTTAAAAAGATCACCATTGTGAAGTCATTGATCAATCTCATCCTTGACAGTTCAATCAATCTTAATAGATCAGCATTGTGAATAGAAAATAGATCAATTTCATTCTTGATGGATCAATTAATTTTAAATAAATCAGCGTTGTGAATAGAAAATAGATCAGCTTCATTCTTGATGGATCAATTAATTTTAAATTGATAAACATTGTCATACGACTTGTGCCAAATTTCTTTGGAACTATTATTTTCCCACAAGTACTCGATAATATGATAATATGATTAGAGCTGTTTTTAAAGAAAACCAACACAATCGATAATAATCCAACAAGAAATCTGTAGGCGTAATTTCACACAACCTTCCCTTTGAAGAGTAGCGTGCCCAATTCACAATAGTACCCGTAATCCTTGAACTGATCAAGGATTAACGACTTATCTTTATATTTCTACAGAATTGAATGAGATTGTTGAATACTTTATTTGCTAACAGTTTTATAAATTTTATTAAAAATAATATCTATTACTAATTAGAAGTACCAGAGAACACGAATTGATATTCTAATTTTTGAAGCCGGCACAAGACATAAATATTTGTCTATCCGAAAGCTATGATAAGTTCACTTCAATTTTAAAGAAAATTTGATCCAGACTAACACGGCGAGTTCTGTGCCCTCAATCAATGCTTGAAGAGTACTGATGTAAATCAGACCTTCTCCTCTAAGCATGGCGGGTCATTTAAATTTGGCATTCAGTTCCTTAAGGGAATTAAAATTAAAATTGCTCCATTAAAAGAGAGAGGTGTCCGATTTACAACAGTTCAAATTAAACCGTTGTCAAAAAACTGTTCACCTGAGATTACAAGTACTTTGTTAGGGTCTACCAAAAATACATGCGAAATAAACAGCAAAAAAAGTTAATAAATATTCGAATTTCCTCAATGACAACGATAAATTTCTTGAGGTTGCTCAGATTTAACAGTTGAAGAAAAAGGGGGGGAGATAAAGAGAAAATATACACCCCTTTTTACCTCTGCAGCAGGTTTTGCGGCGGGTGCTTTCCCTCCCTCCAAGCTGGTAACTCGGCCTTCAAGTCTCAGAATCAGACTTTTCAGATCATCAGTCACCTTCTTCAACTGCTTGTTTTCAAGCTCAAGAGCACTAAATAAATTGTAACCTATTAATATTTAAACACAAAAGATAGAGATATGGATCCGGAAATCCGCAGTATGTTGTTTCCTAGATCCGAAAGCTCAAAAATAAGTAGGCCAGGTTTTAGAATTTAACAGAATAAAAAATAAATTTTCTTTATAAAAAAAATCTAGATTGATGCAAGTTTGACCGACCAAGAAAAGTTGAAAAAGAAACAAAAATTGCACCAAGAACATTTTTCTTAAATAGAATTGTTGGCATATACCATACATAAATCATAAAAACTATTTTTCTGTCAGTCATAAATTAGTATGGTGGTGAATTTTTAAGATAATTTTTGCTAAATAGACGGAGATTAATTGTCAAAAGACTAATATTTCGATTAACAACAATAATATTTAATAAATAAATGTCTGAAGTTTTAGTGTCCAAAACGGTATCACTTTAAAACCTGAAACAATTTCGGCGAAAAGGGTAGAAAAGACGAAAAAGGCGAGAATTGACATTTTACCTCAGTTTAGATGCAAGTGCCATTTCGTCTTCGTCTACGTTTGCTACTAAACCGTCGACCTGAAAATTCCGTCATTTCGTTAAATCTGGTCAAAAAATTATGTTGAAGACAAAAATCGTAGATCAAGTTTTTAACACGGTTAATGTAAATATTCTGGATTGATCATTTTCAGTTGGAAAAATAGAGAAAGAAGAAAAAGTCCAAATACTTTATTCATGGATAGGGAAAGAAGAACAATATTAGGTTCAAATAACCTTCAAAACTCGTGCTATGTTAACCCATTAGTGACGAGACCAGTAACTATTAGTGAAGTTGTTTTAGACGGATCTTGTCAAAACAAAACTTGATTGTACTCATGAAAAAATGATATTCAATTAAATTTTTGAATTTTTTTTGTACAGGGTGACCTGTAAAACATGAAAATCTAAAAAACTTTGGTAATTCATAATTATTTAATTATCTTCAAAACTTTACTTTTCATGTTTTAGTTATTTAGATCTTTAAAAGAAGATTCCAAAACTATCTTTAAATTTTTTCTAGCAAAAAAATTGACAATTTTATAAAAAAGTGAGCAAGGCACTTGTGCTTACATAAATTTGACAGATGATTGAAAAAAAGCAACGTAGCTTAAGCTAAGGAAAACATTTACTCACACATTCAAGCGAGTTTTTAATGTGTTGTCTCGCCCGGGCAATCTGAGCTGAGAGGCTTTCCGGCCCACCAACCTAGGGGTAGCTAGTTAGTAGGGGTAGGGACTAATACTCAACATAGGCGCAACTAAGGGGCGGGGTGAAGACTGGAGAGGGTCACAGGTAATGTTATCTTTACATTATCTTAATAAATTCTCTAGTTTGCTTGAACACTGTTCCTGTAATTTGCCTATTTTTGTCTAATACCTCTAGTTGTGCCTATGTTTCCCATAATATGAATAAAGCCAGATCAGAATTTAAGAACGATAATTTGTATAATTAGAATAGATATCTTGCAACACCATAATTAAATCTCAAATGCGTATAAAGTCATGTTAAAATTTTTTTATTTTGTTCGTTTGATCGGACACTTTCACACAGATACCTGACTCCTCGTCTTGTGCAGCTTGAAAAGGAATAATTAATAAAATGGGGTTAAATGTCTAGTTCTAAATAAGATCCTGTAGTCCCGGGACAGGAAACAGAGGTTAAAAAATAATAAAACAATAAGTTGAAACACGTTCAAAAAACCTACTTGTTCAGCCAGGGAACCTGTGCATTTATTAAATTTTAAGTAAGAAAAAACGCAATAAACCATCCTTTTTAATGAAAAAAAAAAACGTGAGAAAACTTTAAAGTTTTTATTAATTTTCTGAATTTAATAATTTCCTTTTAACTCCTCCTCCTCATAAACCCATTCTGTTTGCGAACTTCTCCAGCTTAGTATACGCATATATAGAAATATTGACGCTAGAATTTTTTTTAAAACTAAATAAATAAATTCAGGGCGTACGCATTTACTAAGCTTAACGAACTAACCCCCAATTTGACATTTTTGATAACTGGGACCAAAGCTAGCTACTTATGTGCTGGATACTCAAAATCCTGATCCCTTAAACTTAATCAACTGTGACCACTTAATATTTGATTAATGCTCTTCATTAGTTTTTTCCTTCCTGATCAAAGCTCCCTTCAACCCCTGACTGGATATGATTACCATGCGAGATATCGAATAAAGATTTAATTAATCTGCAGATTTACAAAAGAAAGGGATAAGGAATTAATCTCACATTCAGAATACAAGGTTTCCAGCTATTTACATAAAAAATTTCCAATGCCGTAAAATGCATATGGTTCAAGTTTGATTTCACGCAAGAAATTTGTATACGTGTATCCTCCCTGGAGATCTCTTGCTGGGTGAACCACAGCTTAATCTCCTTCTCTGCGGACTCGACGCTGTCGCTCCCGTGGATGATGTTGCGACCAACATCGACACAGAAGTCACCACGAATGGTTCCGGGAGCAGAATCCTATAGACTCAACCCATTTCAGAAAAGGTTGTTACTAATCATTCAATTAATTATTCAAGAAAATCCCGGGTTAACGTGTAAACAAATGGAGAACATTGTTTATAAGATAAAAACTCGACATTTGATACTTTGAACCATAAAGATTTGTTTCAAGAACTTGTTCACAAAAATCCGAACATAAAAATCATCTTAACCTTATTTCAATTCATTTTACCCAAATTCAACATTTAATAATTGGAAAAAGTTGGATTTTCTTAAAAATAAGAAACACCAATTTTAGAAAATTTAGATGACATTAACCCCTTTCAATCTGAAAATTAGATGGGTTAAACCTTAGGATTAGTTGCTCCAAGCATAACTCTCCCCTGCTTGACAGCATTGAGTCCCTGCCACACCATAGGGACTACAGGACCAGAACCCATGTACCGGATTAATTCAGGAAAAAATCCTTTCTTGGCCAGGTCGGAGTAATGAGTCTCCAACAGAGGTTTACTAGCCCTCATGAACTTGGCGGCAAGGAGCTTAAATCCACGGGATTCGAAGCGTGAAATTATAGTTCCGACCAGGCCGCGGTGCACGGCGTCGGGTTTCAACATGATGAAAGTGCACTCTCCGTTGGCAGGGTTGCGATATTCAGGCTGAAGTAACAAAAAAAAAAAATTATGACACCAAGCTAAGGAAGATTTAAATAAATGCACTCATGCAAATACCTGCGCCAATCGTTCCTGAAGTTTTGTTTCAGCGTCATCACAATCGGCTTTATTACTCCAAACCTTCTCCACAGGTTTCGTTTCTTTCTTGGAGGAACCAGCCTTTTTCTTCTCCTTCTTGTCTGGTTTAGAAGCAGGTTTATCAGCTGCTGAATGAGCGCTATCATCTTCAACCGGGGCAGACCTCTGATCAATTAAAGATCAATTGTTTTGGGTCATGTTTAAAAAATTTCAACTCGATTAATTGATGTAAATCAAACAAAAAGTTAATTTCATGCAAAACAAGTCAAACCTTATATTTATGTTCAAAGAAAGCTCTCTCAACGTCCTGAAGTTTAGTTACATCATAGCGAAGAAACTCGGTAGCAAGCCAGGGCTTAGGGTCATGTGCTGAACAAACCGTGGGCATTGGTTTAACCAGAGCTGAAGAAATAGACATTTCTGATTTGTAAGGCAGAGGGTGTTCATTGTACATTTGCTTGTTGATTTCGGAGGGTAGAACTTTTGTCCTGGGGCAAGGGTGATTTATTGCTACCCCTTTGGAAGGATAGGCAGACTGATTGTGCACTTCTTTCATTTTACACTGGTCTGATGCGTTAGCGAAAAATCCTAAATCAGGTTTGCTCCCGGTTTCCAAAATTTTATTAGGTTCAATTTCAGGTTTGTTGGTAGAAGAAGCTTCTTGAATATTTTTGGATTCTACTTGCTCAACAAGTTCCTGCCATTCGTCCTCAGATTGCTCAGGAGACACAGTTGGAACCGAATCAGAAGAGTTTAGAAGAGTTTGCTCCGATTTCTCAGTGCTGGCTTCAGAGCAAGGTTCAGTGTTGACAGATTTAGGTTTCAATCCCCTTCTCCGGCTTCTCTTATTCCGGATCTTTTTAGGCATGATTTCACGCAGTCTACAGGGGTTAGGACTAACTGAATGATAATAAGGAGGTTAAATATGTGTATATATAAAACCAGGATGTCTTATCGGAGGTTAAATATGTGTATGTATAAAACCAGGTCTTATCATGGTGTGTGTGTCTTATCAAACAAACAAAATAAAACGGAACTAAGAAAACCAAATGAAATTCAAATAAATATGTTCCTCGAAATTCAACATTCTTGATAAATGTTGAATTTCATAACAAAGGAAAACAAAGCTAAATTACCTTTGCCCCTGAAAGCTTTTCGAAATACATTCTTTCGGCGTCATCGCATTGAGACTTGTTAAACCAAATAGATTCCTGAGCCAGGGCTGCCATTTTAAACTTCAGGGGCTTAGGATACAGCTGAAAATGATCATAATCCAAACCTGTCCAAATCCGAACTTCAAAGGGGGTCCGGGGGGTTAAAAAAATATGGCGAAATTATTAAAACGTTGTGATCGTGAAACATGTACGTAACTAAATAAACTTTAAAAAGAAACGAAAAAACAAATGTGATATAACAATAATAAATAAGATCAATCTTAAAATAATATTTTCATTTTTCACTGAACAGACTTTCACGTCTAGTCTTGCAATTAAAATTTTTTTGTTTCACTTTGATTGAGGTGCAGCTGCAATTTGACTGACATATGATTTTAGCGGAAAAGGAAACTAAGAACAAGAAATAGGAAGAATTGGACCGAGATCAGCGGCATTTGCTCAGTCGTCTTCTTTGATGCTTTATCATTCGGGCTACTGTTAGAATAGAAACAGAACTAATTAAGTTTTTGACTAAGGGTTTTCTGACCAGAGGCGTATTCAAGAGGAGCTGTGGATCATTGAAAATCATGGTTTCCTCGTTTTTTAGGCCCCATAGAATGCTAAACTCCCCTGGACAGAAAACAATTAGCCTCCCCCCCTTCCCCGGACAAATTCCTCATTACGCCCCTGTTTCTGACCTACATATGTATGTATGTATATAGGATCTTTAATACATAGTTTACAGGGGGGGCTGCGGCATTCATCGCTCTAATAAAATCGTAAACTGAACAATAATAAAATTTTCAACGAGACCTGAATCATCAGGCCAATGGCGTCTGGTACCCAAAAATATCCGGGGGGGGGGGCGCAGGTCGCCTCCCCATCTATTTCCTTATTGTGATACAAATCTATAACATATATTTGATACACTTTTGGGCTCCTCTTAATAATCTGCAAAAATTGCAAATTTGCAAAGTCTCAAATATTTTTTTCAATTATAGCCAAAAATGTGGAAAAACAAAATAGTACGCAAAATATGAAAAGTTATACATTTTTCAAAAACCCGTACCACAGTGAATTCAAATATGCAAGAATATTTTAAAAAAAGGAATTGAAAACTAAAAATGTGCAAATTCTCTTTAAAGGAATCAGTGCAAAAGTCCAATGACCGGAAGAAGGTCTACATAAAGATTTTATCAGGTAAAGGTAAAATAAGACTTTTATAGGCAGTATGTTTGAGGCTGGCAGTATGTATAAAAGGCTCAATTTCAGCCTAAATGAGGGGCATGTGAATTAGTTCGAAAATTGTCATAAACAGCCTCAGAGTTATTTTAAGTTATTTTCTAAAAACGACAGGAATCTAGGGATAAGGTTAATTTTATTGGAAAAGTTTTCCGATACGTGGGACTTGCATGCACCCTCATGGCATACCCCCCCCCTACCCTAATAAATATATTTTACTCCTCTTTCCCATCTGTTAAGTGTTAGTTGCGTTTATTTGTCTAACAAATTCAAAAGCATAATTTTTACACAGCTCATATACAGGGTGTCTCACGAAACATGACAATAGCAAGACAATTTTTTGCATTTATTTGTCACCATAATTTTAGAAGTAAATTTTATTGTCTAAACAGAATTCTAAATACCTCGGGTGATATTGACAGCACAAAAAAGAGGCAGACCACATTTTGGAAATGCCAGGGCTTGGAGAATTTAGTGGTTATTGTTAAATAAATCATACAATTATCAAAGAAGGTTGACGTTTGTCTTGATGAGGTGATGGGCACGGGCAGCCACTCAGACTTAAAAATATCGGACACGGGCACTTCATAATTATAAAGTTGATAGTGCACCCATTACACAAATGGAAATATTTTTCCAATTTAATTTGATAAGAAATGAATATGATATATACATATATTACAAAACAGACTTTGATATTAAAATGCACATTAAACGCAGTCATCTATCTATCTATATAATAAAACAAGACAATTCTATATATGTTGCCAAAAGCCGGCCAAACGACTGAACCGAATGGGCTGACATTTTTTTGTGGACACTCATGGGTAGCCGGGTAGTGTTATATGCTAAAAATTCGACATATTTTTAAAATGTTTTTTTTTATTATTTCTTTCAACATTTAAAAAAAAATTTAATAAATCTTAAACCTTTACCCCATAAAATTTTTAACTTTGCAAACATTAGATTCATGTCTGATCCAAACAAATTTAAATTACAATATTGAAATCTTTTATATTTTAAATCATAATTTAGTTTCATTAAGGCACATGAAGAAGAACAAAAATGTTTTAAATTTCTAAGATGAATCAGATTAATTTGTTTTATTTATACTTGTACATAAAATCAAAATTAGATGAGCTACGGTGGAAGTTTTCGATTCCTCAATTTTGATTTCTCCACATCATATCTTAAGATTGTCAATGGGTCTAAATTTCGATTTTTGGAACTAAACATTTTGATAAATTGAAGAAGGCTAAGATAAAAATTTTCTTGCAAAAAATGCTGAATTTTTCGAGTACTATGTTTTTTTTATTTTGGTGTTAAAGCTTAAGATTATCTCCAATTGGAGATAATCTAATATGACATGAGAAGCTATGAAGCAAAAAAATGTTTATTTATTGTAAGCTTATCAAAACCATCTAAAGTTGGAAACTGGGATGGCAAGGGTTTAATCAAATACATAATAACATTCACTGTTCTCGTATTTTAATAAGAAAAACTAATATTTTTGCAAAAATGATATTTATTTTGAAATTTACAAAGTGGAAAAACAGAGTTTTCTGTCTAACAAATTTGATATTAAATTGTATTTACAATATATAGAGGATTTGTAAACAGTAAATAAATATTCTTGATTTATAAATATCTATGCAAATTTCCACTGGTATTTTTAGTGGATTTTTTGTTTTATCTCAATCTGTCAATATCAATATATAATTAATTATTTAATTATAAAATAAGAAAAGATACAATGATATACTCCTATTGTGTAAAACAGTTCGCTCATCTTGTTTTTTAATAGTTTTTTAGTTCCCCCAGAGGGGGGGGGGGGAAGGA